CACTGGGGGATTCTAGGCAGGTGCTCTACTATTGAGTTACATCATCAGCCCTTTAAAAAAATGTTTATGAAAAACTTTGAGACAGAGTTTTGCTAAGTTGATCAAGTTTTCTGGAACTCTCTGTAGTCCACGCTAGTCTTCGATTTTCATCCTTCTGCTTCACTCCCCTCTGCCTCCCCCCTCCCCCTCCCCCAGAACTAAGATCCTTCCACCAACACATGTGTATGAGACATCTTTTTGCTGCACACTCACCACCAACTCCCAGGCCCCCAGCACCACCACCTGTGAAGTAAGAGGACGAGCTGTCAGTGTGGGCACACCTCTGGGAGCCCACCATGCCCTCCCTGATTGGAGCAGGACATGTGATATAAGAAGTCCTGGATTTGGGCAGCAGGAGCCTTTGGCTCAATCTCTGCTCACTGTGTGACCTTGGAACAGTGTTTAGTGGTCTCTGAGTCTCAGGTTGCCTAAGGAGAAGTAGGGTAAGGAAGCTATTTGACCCACAGGGACCCCGAGAGACTTGAAAGATGCTTTAGAAAAGCTGGTGTCATGTCCCCTGTCCTTAGAAGTGTCCTTAGGTTAGATTGGGGTCTACCATAGAGTCTAGTTCAACTCTTCTGAGCAAATGGAGCAGAGGAGAGGAAAGGGCCTGGCTGTGACCAGAACAGGGCCACGGGGCAAGACACTTGGGCATACCTGGGTAAATAGGAGACAGTCCAAAGCCAGGTCTCGCTGCCACTCCTGCAGGAGAAATTTGGGGTTGGTGATGAACAGTGACAGGCCATGTTCTGGCCTTGTCACCTAGCCTTGATGTCTGGGACCAGCTCCTTCCCATTGCCTTGCCCTACCGAAGCAACAATTCTTTGTGGTGTGTGTGTGTGTGTGTGTGTGTGTGTGTGTGTGTGTGTGTGTGTGTTTGCTCTCCATCTTTCATTTTGAGGCAGGGTCTCTCGCTAAACCTTTTGTTCACCGATTTGGCAACACTAGCTGGGCCAGCAATCCCCCCCCCCCCATCCCTCAGTCGCCATCTCCCCAGCCTGCAAGTTTTACATGCGTGCCGGGGAATTGAACTCATGTCTCCATGCTTGCCCGGTGAGTGTTCCACTAACTGAGCCCCCTCTCCAGCCTGGAGGTCACTTTCTTAGTTAACCTTGTCTCTGTCTCATATGCCTGTGTGGCGCCTTGTGCCTTAGTTGTGGGCCCTAGTTGTCTCCTGTCCTAGACTGCTTTGTCCATCACCAGCCTTGGGTCCTCTTGTGAAGTCGGTGTCCGGAACCCTATTGTTTGTCCCTAGAGCCAGGCAGAGCCAAGAACACCACCAGAGCGGGCCGTACCTCCACCTGGGAATGGCCTGGCTCCAAGGACACCTCCAAGGCCAGCAGCACCTGAGGAGAGGACAGGGGGGTGTCAGGATGAGACGCAAGGGGTGGTGGTGATGACATCGTGGACAAGACCTTTGGGGGTACCATGAGCTGGGCAGGTGTGGCTGGTGGTGATGGGGGTAAAAGCCTGTGTTGGGGAGGGGGAGGGTATGGCAGAAACTCACCATATTTGGCCGCTTTAGCCGCTGCAGCTGGGGACACACCTAGAGGAAACAGACACATGAGGACTCAGGAAAGCCACCTCTCTCCACCACTCAGGTCCCCTTAGCTGATCTGTTCATCAGCATCTGCCGGACTTGTCCTCCTGCATCCCACCTTGTCCTCCTGCATCCCACCATTCCATCAGACCTCCTCCTTCTCACATCCATCATTCTGATAGCCTGTGCGTGCGTGCGTGCGTGCGTGCGTGCGTGCGTGCGTGCGTGCGTGCGTGCGTGTGTGTGTGTGTGTGTGTGTGTGTGTGTGTGTGTGGTGCTAGAGATGGAATCCAGGGTCTTATGCATGCTATGCAAGTATTCTACCATTGAGCAATGCTTCGGGCAGCTTACTAATAGGGGATTCAAGGCAAGCACTCTACCACGGAGCCACACCCCGCTCCCAGTGGAGGATTCTCGACTAGTGCTCTACCATGGAGCCACTCCCCCAGCCCCTCACTGGGGGATTCTAGGCAGGGGCTCTACCACTGTGCCACACCCACAGCCCCTCACTGGGGGATTCTAGGCAGGGGCTCTACCACTGTGCCACACCCACAGCCCCTCACTGGCAGATTTTAGACAAATGCACTACCATTGAGCTATTTCTCCAGCTCTCCAGTAGTTTATATTAAGCTGCTATTACATGCCCAGTCTTGGGGAACATAGCGTACAGGCTAGTTTAGGTAGGGGACACGGTTGGGGACACATAGCAGAGAGAGAGAGGGAGAGGGAGAGGGAGGGAGGGAGAGAGAGAGAGACAGAGAGAGACAGAGAGAGAGAGAGATCCACCATGGTAGCAGAGACTTTAAGGAAGTAATTCCTCTCCAGTTTTGATTTTTCTTGTCTGAGAAATGGGTCCGACCAGCATTATGCTAATAAGCCCTCACCTGTAATAGTTGATGGGTTGAAAGAGAGAGAAGATGGGTTTTGGTACCTCTATGTCAACAGGCAGTCCTGGCTCCTGCCTGCTTAAGCTTTCTACCCCTTTGCTTCCGATGGGGTCTAATATCTCCTAGGCTGACCTTGAACTCACTGTGCAGCCCAGGTTAGCCTCCAACCCATGATCCTCCAGCCTTAGCCTCCCTAGTGCTGGGGTGACAGGTGTTCGTCATCACACTTGGCTTCAGTATCTCTCTCTCTCTCTCATATACCTCACTCACTCATTCTTTACCTCCAAGGCCTGCTCCACCGGCCCCAAGTCCACCAGCTCCCAGGCCACCGGCTCCCAGGCCACCGGCCCCGAGTCCACCGGCCCCGAGTCCACCGGCTCCCAGTCCGCCGGCTCCACCATACTGGGCGGCCTTCGCGGCAGCTTTAGCAGCAGCAGCAGCGGCAGCAGGTGACGCTCCTGGGGACACAGAGGGACTCAGGAGGGACTGCTTCTCGGTCTCAGGCTCGATCCCCAGCCAGCCCATTGCTGGGATAGAAAGACATACCTGCTACACCACCTGGAACACCAGCCCCACCAAGACCCCCAGGGCCCCCGAGGCCACCAGCACCTCCAAGACCTCCAACACCTCCAAGGCCTCCAGCTCCTGCTCCTGTGGAAAGAGGACTGGGGGTCAGTGCCTATATTTTTGTTTATTCATTTGAGACCAGGTTACTTATAGCTCAGGCTGGTTTTCAGTGTGGCTGAGGATGGTTTTGAACTCCTGATTTTCCTGCTTCCACCTTCCAAGTGCTGAGATTTATAGGCATGTGCTATGATGCCTGGGACTTTTTTTTCTTTTGGTTTTTCCAGACAGGGTTTCTCTGTGGAGCCCTGTCCTGGCTGTCCTGGAACTCACTCTGTAGACCAGGCTGGCCACAAACTCTCAGAGGTCCACCTGCCTCTGCTACCTGAGTGCTGGGATTAAAGGTGTGCGCCACCACCACCTGGCTCCTTCTATCTTTTCAAAAATTTTCTCCTAGTAAGATAGGGCCTCACTAAGTTGCAGAGACTGGCCTTGAACTCATGATCTACCTGTCCCATCTCAGCCTCCAGACTGCTGGGATGACAGGCTTGTGCCAACATGCCTGCCTTCAGTTCCCCGTGTCTGAAAGATGTGTTCATGCCCTAGGGCCATAAGGCAGGAGAGGCCTCTGGGAGTCTAGGCAAGCCCTCTACCACTGAGTCACACTCCCAGGCCCTCACTGGAGGATTCTAGGCAAGCACTTTCTCCTACTGAGCCACGCCTTCAGCTGGGGCATTCCAGGCGGTGCTCTACCTCTGAGCCACACAGTCACCTCTCTTTTTATTGGTTTTCTGAGACAGGCTCTTGCCATTTAGCCCATGCTGCCTTTGACCTTGAGATTCTCCTGCCTCAGCCTTCAAAATGCTGGCTTCACAGGTGTGATCCACCATGCCCAGCAGCCACACCAAGTTTTCGGATGAGAAGGTCGAGGCCAAGGAGGGGTTTTGAACATTTCACGTTCAAGGTCTGAAGGGCAGAAGACGACCCAGTGGCTGCCCTCCCAGAGAGTCCTTGTGTGTTTCCCTAGGCAATGTCTGTTGACAAAGGCCAAGGGCAGCCAGCAAGGAATTTGAGAGAGAGCTGTGGGTGACCAGGGACTCTGTGTGTGTGTGTGTGTGTGTGTGTGTGTGTGTGTGTGTGTGTGTGTAGCTGAGGGATTTTCCGAGGTGGAAACTGGCCCTCAAGCAGACAAACTGCAGCCAGTTGGCGCATCCCTGGCAGATCCCCCCCCCCCCTGGCTCTTTAGGAGGCTGGGAATGTGGGGGTCACAGACAGTGTGGGTCTGGCCAGAGCGCCAAGTGGCAAGGCAGACGGGTCTGCCACGTCTTCCAGGCTGGCGAGTGCTGGGCGAAGTCACGCTGACAGGAAAGGAGGAGGAGGAAGAGGAGGAGGCCTGGGGATGCCTGCACAAGGAATATTCACAACTCCACAGGCCAAAGAGTGGAGAGGAGGCTGAAGCTGCCCAGCCTTGTGGGACCAGCATCAGTAAGACACCCCCCCACCCCCCCACCCCCCGCCCCTGCCCCCTGCACCAAGAAAACTGTCAGCTTCAGAGTGAGGCTGGGAGATCGGACAGTTGTGAGCGAGACAGGGTTTCCTAGGTCGACCTTGGACTCTCCATGTCGCCAACGGTGACCCCCTGCCTCTGGCTTTCCAAGAGCTGAGATTACAGGTGTGGACCCCCATGCTGGGCACGGCAGGTGGTTTTGACTGACACAGGGGTCCATAGGCAGGTGTCAGGTCTGTGGCTGTCATTCAGACGTCCCCTAGGTAGCCTTTCTCTGTGCTGAGCAGCAGCTCAGCCCCACACTTCGAGGCTGGGGGACGGCGGGGGAGGGGGGGTGACCAGGGGAGCAGGTGGTGGGTGGCGGGGGAGGGGGTGACCAGGGGAGCAGGTGGTGGGCTGCACTCACCATATTTAGCAGCTTTTGATGCAGCCAGGGATCCAGGGACTGTGAAAAAAAAAAGAAAGGGAAAGAGAGGTCTGCTGCTGAGCTCTGTACCTGGGAGTTCTGCTGCCTCTTCCAGGAAGCCCACCCTGACTTCTCCTACTTAGATTTTTTTTTTTTTTTTTTTAAGCCTGGAAACTCCATGGCACTCCAATCGGGAGGTCCTACTTGTAGATATAGGGTTCTAGTATTTAATCTTGACATTGTTCACCTAGGACTCCTTGAGGGCCAGCTTTGTGTTTCTTTCCTTCATCTCTCTCTGTCTTCTTTATGCCCAGTATAAAGGCTGGGCCCAGAGCGAGGCTCAGCGACCACATGACGAAGAACTGGGGTTCCTAGTGGCCCCCTTGTCCTAGAGCAGTGATTCTCAACCTTCCCAGGGCTGCGACTCTTGAACACAGTTCCTTACGTTGTGGTGACCCCAACCATAAAATTATTCTGTTGCTACTTCATAATTTCACTACTGTTATGAATTGTAACAGAGGGGTCGTGACCCTCAGGTTGAGAATCACTGTCCTAGAGCGTGTGTGTGTGTGTGTGTGTGTGTGTGTGTGTGTGTGTGTGTGTGTTTTTTTTTGGAAGGCTATCTGGACTGGCCCGGAGGAAGAGACTTCTACCTTTTCTTCTGTGGGTGTTAGGGGGCTTTTGATCAGTCTGCAGCCTTCATACACCTCCCTCTAAAATCTCACACCCTGGAGTTGTTTGGCCGGTCCCTCCCTCACTGATTCCCCCACTCGCTCCATCCACCTCTGCTTGTTACTAGAAATGAAACCCACGGCCTCACCCATGCTAGGCAGGGTGTTCTACCCTGAGCCATCTGGTCACCCTCTTATGGAGGAACTCTAGGCCGATGCTCCGCCACTGAGCTACAGTACTAGACCCTGTTTTTTTTTTTAATTAATTAGTTCATCAATTTATTCATTCATTTATTTAAGATAGCACTTCACAAAGTTATACAGGCTCTTTATAGAGCAGGCTGTCCTCGGACTTGTAAGCCTCACGTCTCAGCCTCCCGAGAATCTCAGATGACAGGCCCTGAACTGCCTACCTGGTACCCATTTGCTTTTGCCTGCTCAGGAACATCTAATGGATGCTTTGTAAGGACATAGGGATGGAGTCCTGGGATGAAGCAGGCCCTCTTTCTCTGAGCTCAAGGGCACTTTATCCAGTTCTTAGAATTCTCCTTACCTGCTCCAGCCCCAAATCCAGGGACACCTGCTCCAGCTCCAAATCCAGGGACACCAGCACCTGCCCCAAATCCAGGGACACCAGCACCTGCCCCAAATCCAGGGACACCTGCCCCAAGCCCAGCAGCAGCCCCTGAAGAGAAGAGGAAGTAAGCAGTTGTAGCTAATAGGGCCTGTGTCCCTGCAGGGGTGTCCTGCCTCAGGAGCTGAGTCAGGCCCCAAAGGAAGGGGTCCCCAAGGAGCAGCAGCCTCCTACCCAGCTTTGTCCTCATCTGCTGACTCACCCCAGAGTCCATGATTATTATTATTATTATTATTATTATTATTATTATTATTATTATTTTGAGACAGGGTCTTACTAAATAGTGTTGGCTGGTCTGGAACTATAGACCAGGCTGGCATCAAACTCATAGAGATCTACCTGTGGCTGCCTCCTGAGTGCTGGGATTAGAGGCGTGCACTTCCATTCCCAGCTTTTGAAGGAATCTATTTAATACTCTCCCTCACCCAAGGGTCTCATGTAGCCCAGGTTGGACTTGAACTGAAGGCCCTCTTGAATTTCTGGTCCTCTTGCCTCTATCTCACAATTGCTGGGATGGGATTACTGGCATGCACCACCATGCCTGGTGTATGCAATGCTGGGTATGGAAGCCAGGGCTTCGTGCACTCTAGGCAAGTGCTCTACCAGCTAAACCACACCCTCATCCGAATCTCTGAAATTCTCCTAGTGACCTTCCGTGTGCCCTCATGCCACTGACTCCCACACTTGATACATAAGCTAAAGGAGTCCCGGAAGTCACTCAGCTATCTTGAGAACCAAGACTTGAGCCCAGGTCTCCCTTTTGCTGGGTCTGTGTTTCCGAGCCCTCTGCTAGGTGCCGTGGGGACCTAAAGACGGTAAGGATGCATCTGAGAGGTTGTTTCCGGTGGCCGTGTGTCCTGGCTACGTGGCTGGGGACAGGAGAGGGGGTGCACTCACTGTACTGGGCTTTGGCGGCTGCCTTAGCAGCAGATTTGGCAGCAGCCGGCGTCCCTGCTCCTGAAGAGAGAGGAAGGACATTGAAGATGGCGCCCATGGAGGCTTCAGGGAACCCCCAGACCCACCCACTCATTCACCATAGCTCACCAATACCACCAGGTCCAATGCCGATGCCGGGACCAGCTCCAATACCAGTAACACCACCAGGGCCAACTCCACCAGGAACTCCACCCACACCGACTCCACCGGGAACACCACCAACGCCAGGGCCCAAACCTACAAGAGAAGGAACAGCTTCTATAATCATGGAGCTTATCTATAATCATGGCCCAAAGAAAGAGGGCAGGAGCTGATGAAAAGAGTCCACAGCTATGAGTTAGGAGCTGTGGGTTCTCTTCCTAGCCCTGGCAAAGACTAGCTGTGTGATCTTGGGGCAGATACTATCCCTTGCTGGGCTTCTTTTTGCTCTTATGTAATAAAAGTCAGAAGTAAATTTAGTAGTTTGTAACCTTTTGAAGGACAGGGACACCTTGGAGGCTTGCTTAAGGATGATGAAGGACAAGCAGTTTATTTCAGTTGTTTGTTTTACTTTTTGCTTTTTTAGTACTAGAGAGTGAATGGGAGGCTTTGAACATGCTAGCCAAGTGTTCTACCACTGAGCCACACCCCAGCCCCTCACTGGGGGATTCTAGGCAGGTGCTCTACCACTGAGTCACACCCCAGCCCCTCACTGGAGGATTCTAGGCAGGTGCTCTACCACTGAGCCACACCCCAGCCCCTCACTGGGGGATTCTAGGCAGGTGCTCTACACTGAGTCACACCCCAGCCCCTCACAGGGGGATTCTAGGCAGGGGCTCTATCACTGAGTCACACCCCAGCCCCTCACTGGGGGATTCTAGGCAGGGGCTCTACTGATGGTGGTGAAAAGGTCCCCAATTTTTTTTTTTTATCATTATTCTATTATTTACTTTGAGACAGGGTCTCACTAGATTTCCCAGGCTGGCCTCAAACTTTCAGTGCCCTTGCCTCAGCTCTCGGAGTCGCTGGTGTTACAAGCCAGTACCACCAGGCCTGGCTCCCAAATTCATGAAGGCCAAGTGTCACCAACCCCCAGGACATGACTGGATCCCAGCTGAGCTCCTACAAGTAGAGCACCCTCTGTTAATTATGTCCAGGAAATGTATACATCCTTGGGGCTATTGGAGTGAACTTGACCTCTACCAAGAGAAAGCAAGAGGAATGTAGCCCCTCAAGGGGATACGGCTGGACTCTATCTAGCTTGAGATTCAGAAGAGGACCAGCCCTAGTTAGACTTGGGGAACCAGGCGCTTTTAGAAGTAGGCTGAGGCAGGGTCATGGAGGGGTTGGCAGACTTACACTGCTAAAAGGGAGAGGGCAAGCTAAAAGCTATGAGAAAAGCCCATACTCAGGGCTGGGGGTGTGGCTCAGTTGGTAGAGTGCTCACCTAGCATGCTGGGAGCCCTGGGTTCCAGCCCCCAGCACCGCACAAAGTTTGGGGGCACATGCCTGGAATCCCAGCACATGAGAGCACATGAGCAGGAGGAACAGGAGTTCAAGGTCACCCTTAGCTCCTCAGCAGGAGATGTGAGAAGGCTATGGTCTGGGGTCGAAGGTCAGGTACAGATGGGAACAACTTACCATACTGGCCCGCTTTGGCGGCTGCCTTGGCGGCGGCGGCAGCAGCTGCAGCTGCAGGGGTACCTGCTCCTGTTTGGATAAAGGGAGCATAAGATGATGTCCAATATCCCCTCCAGAGTCCACCATGGGTATCCCTCTCTGGGTGCCATGGCCTCACACTGGAGACAGACAGGGAAGGGTGCTGAGGTGGGTGGCCTGGGCTTCAGACATGGTGCTGCTGACGCCCCCTGCTGGCCACCTGGACATGTCCCTGTTTTGCTTGGGCTTCAGCGAAGAGCTGAGAGGTGATTCTAGCCCTCTTTGGGATGCTCTTAAGTACAAAATTCCTAGCAGCACCTGTACCCCAAGTAATTGTAGGAAATGACCCCTTCCTTATCTTTTATTTACTTATTTTTAAACACATGTGCACACACACATTTACAAATGTTTTATTGGGGATTTAACTAAGGAAGTATTGAATATACAGATCTGTTTTGGAGCATTTGATTTTTTTTTTTTTTTTTTGGTTTTTCGACACAGGGTTTCTCTGTGTAGCTTTGTGCCTTTCCTGGAACTCACTTGGTAGCCCAGGCTGGCCTCGAACTCACAGAGATCCACCTACCTCTGCCTCCTGAGTGCTGGGATTAAAGGCGTGCGCCACCACCGCCCGGCGCATTTGATTTTTAACAGATTTCTTTGTATAAATGAGTACAAGAATCACACTATTCATACAAGTCCTCCTTATCTTCTCTCTCTCTCTCTCTCTCTCTCTCTCTCTCTCTCTCTCTCTCTCCTTTTTTTTGGTGGTTTTTCAAGACAAGGTTTCCCTGTTTAACAGCCCTGGCTGCTCTGGAACTTGCTTTGTAGGCCAGGCTAGCCTCATACTCACAGAGATCTGCCTGCCTCTGCCTTCTGAGTGCTGCAATTAAAAGCGTGTGCCACCACACCTCGCTACCCTTGTCTTCTTTCTGATTGCACTTTGTACTTTGAGGCAGGGTCTCTCGCTGAACCCAGAGCCTGCTGTTCCAGCTGTTCTAGCTAGCCAGCTCGCCCTGGGGAGTCCCCGTCTTTCCTCCCACATGCTAAGATTACAGGCAGGCCGCCATGTCCACTGGCTTTTATGTGGTTTCTGGGGATTCAGCCTCTGGTCCTTACACTTACTGCAATGCAGATGTGTATGTCCCCGTACCATCTCCATCCTTTCGCTTTCCTTTTAAAATTCACACTTGTTTATTTATTTGTGTGTGTGCATGCTCGCATGCTCCCCAGCACACATTTGGGGGTTAGAAGGCAACTTGTGGGAGTCATTTCTTTCATTCCAACATGGAGGTTTCAGGATTTGAACTCAGGTAGTCAGGCTTGGCTGCAAGTGCCTCTCTACCCACCGAGTGCCCCTTCTTTCTTTGCAGTACCGGGAATGAACCCAGGCTCTTCTGCACGCTCAGCAAACACTCTACCCACCACTCAGCCACACTCCCAGCCCTAGCTCCTTTCTGAAAGAAACACAGAAGGGCAGTTTTCTCCTGGGTGTCGGGGGAGGGATACAGAAGAGAAATCTTCCGATGGGAGAACAATGACTAGGGCGTCCTTGAATGCCAAGGTCTTCGAATCATCTCCCTTTGACCTCTGACTGGTGTATGGGAAAGGACCTACGGTCACCTGAGCGAAGGGTCCTCTGTTGGTAAGGAACTAGACATGCCTCAGAGTAAAAGGCAGATCACTCCACTCTGGGTGACCCAGGGATCTCTCACAGAGCTGGCTGAGACTCCCACAGTATGGAGAGGCTTGCCAGAGATCAGCAACAGGGTCCCTACAGAGTGCTCCCCCTCACTCAACTACTTTAGGGGAAAGGGTCCCCCTCTTCCCCACTCATCTCTGGGGTCAGTTTTCCTATCTGTAAAATGGGGTCAGTTTTCCTATCTGTAAAATGCCAAGCCCCAATCCCATAAGACCATACAAGCCCATCTCAGGATGGGGAACACAGCTCACCTGGCACTCCCCCAGTGCCCGGTACACCTGGTATTGCTCCTGCTCCTGCACCTGGCACCAGGCCTCCCAGGCCTCCGGCTCCACCAGCACCTGGAGGAGAGAAGAATAAACACCAGTGTTCACCCCATCCATCCATCCATCCATCCATCCATCCATTCATCCATCCATTTATCCACCGCCACCCACCCAACCACATGTATATGTGTATGTGTGTATGGATACATGGAGAGGGAGGTGGGGGGCAGGATTGCCTAGCATCTTCAACACACTCCTTTGGAGTGAGCTGGTGAACAAGGTACCAATAGTCTGAATAGCAAATGGCCATGGTGGAAGAGCTGAGCGTGCCTTAGAAGGCAGATGGGGGCTGTGGATTTGCATCTTGGCCCTGGAGGCCCAAGTGTGAGGTTGCTCTGCCCTCGCTTAGAGCCTAGAGAGAAGGGCATCGGACAGGGCAACGCTACTCACCGTACTTGGCAGCTTTGGCGGCAGCAGCAGCGGCTGCTTGGCCTGCCCCTGCAAGGAAAAGAGAAGAGCAGGTGGGTACATGGATAGATGGGTCAAAAGGGCGGAGTAGTGGGGGGACAGGTGGTCAGGCAGGCAGGGGAGTAGTATGTAGTTAGAAAGATGGATGGATGGGTGTGTGAATAGATTGATGGATGATATATACATGGAGAGATGGATAGGTAAATGGATGGATACACAGATGGCTGGATAGACGTATGTGTATTTGTATGGGTAGATAAATGGATGAACAGGAGATAGATGATGCATAGATGTGTGGATAAATGAGATGACTAGGTGGATGGATACATGGATGAATAGGCAATAGATTAATGGGTAGATGGATGGATAAATAGACGAGTGGATGGATAACGGATTGATAGATAGATGGTTGGATAGATGGATGGACAGATAGATAAATGGGTGGACTGATGGATAGGTGGAAACATAGATGGATGGGTGCTCTTTTGCCTGGATTGCTGCTGAGCAACGACCATAGCTTTCCCTGCCCTTAAAGGCTATGAAGATGACCTCTCCCTTCCATAGCACACCCAAACCCACATCCACTCTCCAACTCCCTGCATGACTCGAGAGCCCTGCTCCTTCTCCCCCAGCTTCTCAAAGATAGAACTAAAGCTCACGGGGAAGAATACCTCCGAGTCCAGCTCCAGCTCCAACACCATAGCCAGGAAAGCCCCCAGCACCAACTCCATATGTTGGAATGCCAACTCCACCTCTGCCTCCTGTGGAGGAGAAAGAATCCAATGAAAAGAGACTCCTGTGAGGCTGGGCAAGCTCTGGAAGGATGCTCATTGGCTGGGAGAAAGGATGCGATGTATGCTTCCTTTAAGCTGGTCCCTGAGGACAGGAAACTGGGGTTCCTGGGGTCCCGGACCAGTCTCCTCCATGAAGTATGAGTCTTCTCTGGTTCTCTTCCCAGGGTGTGTGGGAAAGCATCGCTTTGTTATGGAGAAGTGAGTGGGTTTACTTCTGTCGTTTGAGAGGACTTTAGCCAGAGCATGGAAGGGTAGGGACACTATATAGACTGGGGATGCCATCCTGGGATGGCCCTATCGCTCAGCAGCATGGCTTCATAGTTGGAGACAATTGGAGAGACACAATCTATCCTGGGACCCAATGGCTCCAAGTAGCTCTGTTTGGGACTTTCCCTGGGCCAGCGGAAGCCGGTACAGGGATGGCCAGGGCACTCACCATATTTGGCAGCTTTGGCAGCAGCTTTGGCAGCAGCAGCTGGTGACACAGCCCCTGGGGAGATCAAGAGGGACAGGGATCAAGACTGCCCAGGAGAGAATGGAGGAGAGATGGTCAACGTATACCTCTCGGTCTACCTGTTACTCCATCTTTGTTTATTATCTGTAGAGCTGAGATACTTGTTCATCCACTCATCTTCTATCCCATCTCTGTTTATCCTTCTGCTGTCTGTCCTTAGATCTCATTCCACCCACCTACCCATTAACTCTCTGTCCATTTGTAGATTGATGGATTAGGAAGATAAGTAGATGGATAAATGTATGCATGGATAAATGGATAAATGGAAGGATGGAGGAATGAGTAGATGGAAACCCATGTATCTATCACTTAGTCACCTGCTGTTGCATCCATCTCCCCATCAGCTTACCCACCCATCTGCCTGTCCGTCTATCAATAGCCTACATACCCACCTGCCCATGTACTCATCAGCTTGTCAATCAGCCTGCCTATCTGTCTCTTCATCACCTTAGCCACCTACTTGCTCCTGCATCCATGCAACCATCCACGCATGCACCCAAGTATCGATGTATTTATTCCTGCATCCATTCTTTGAAGCACCTATGTAGCTTCCTACCTGCATGCCTATCTGCTTTTCCATCTACTGATGCATCTTCCCTCACTACTCTTAGCCCATGTATTCACTCATTTTTATATTGATTCAGCCTCTGCTCACTCTCTCCTTGGTCAGTTTAACTGCTCATCTACACGACCACTTCTATGGCTACCCACTTGACCATTTACCAGTCTGTCCACTGACTCATCTATCTCTCCTTTACTGAGAGAACCGACTTAGCTAAGGATGGGGGCATATTAATGAAAGGCACGGTTCCTGCCTCGGCAGCATACTGTCAGTTAGGAGGGAAGTTGGAGAGGCTGCTGTTGCTGGAAGCTAGTTAGAAGGTTGTCATAGTCCAAAAAAGGAGGGGATTAGACTTGGTCAAGAGTATGTATAGATGAATGAATGAATAAGACTTAGGGAGCACCCAAAGTCTTGGCAATACTCTATATTGCACATACACACACACACACACACACACACACACACACACTCACTCACGCGTGTGCACACACAGAACCCAGCTTACCTGGTCCACCCACAATGCCTGGGCCTCCAATACCAGGGCCCCCAACACCTGGGATGCCACCAACACCAACACCTGGGATGCCACCAACACCTGGGATCCCAACACCTGGGATCCCAACACCTGGGACCCTAACTCCTGGTCCACCAGGTACTAAGCCTCCAGCAGCTCCTGTAGATGGAAAGAGGATTGTCTCAGACTGAGCCTTGTGGGGACCTCTGCAGGCCTCCCAGGGCAGATGTATAGGTCAGCTTTGGGACCACAGTCCAGATGCTGAGTGCAGCATCACATGCAGATGGGTTGGTGATTTCTCTACAAGGATCCAACTCATCAGAGAACTGGAGATGGACTAAGATGGAGCCCAGAGAGACCTCTAGTTTGGATATGCAGCTGGGAAGAACAAAATCAATTCCAGAGAAAAACCAAAATATCTGCCTTAGGCACCTAGGCTGTGGTTTTGTGTGTGTGTGTGTGTGTGTGTGTGTGTGTGTGTGTGTGTGTGTGTGTGTGTTTTGTTTTTGTTCTTTTGTTATCATGTTTTATTTTGCAGTATTGGGAATTGGAACCAGGACTTTGCACATGCTACCACTCTACCACTGAGCCACACCCCAGTCCCTCACTGGGGGATTCTAGGCAGGGGCTCTACCACTGAGCCACACCCCAGCCCCTCACTGGGGAATTCTAGGCAGGGGCTCTACCACTGAGCCACACCCCAGCCCCT